CGGGGGCAAAAGGAGTAGTAACGTGTTTCTCAGCAGCCAGCATGAGCACGGCGAAACAGAGACAAGCTGTAATGAATGTCTCGATGAATACACCCTGCGCCAGATTAACGTCTGGGGCTAAGAAGGTACTTGAAGGGGGGCTCGTCAGCGACTTCCGCCTGCGTAGAGCAATAGGAAACGTACTTCGACATAAGAGGTCCTGGAGTAAGCCCCAGTATCAACGCCGCCGCTGCAATTCCTCCAAGTAGCTGGGCGATGCAGTAGAGCACAAATCGAACAGGGCCGATTACTCCGACCAGAAGCAAGGAGAGGCTGACGTTCGGGTTGAAGAGACCGCCGGTGACTCGAAAGAACAGCCAGGCTGAGACCAACAGGGCAAGACCGAATGAGACGGCGATGTACATGATTCGCATAACGCTCGTTGCACCCTCTGCTACGCTTCCAGCCTCGGCCGCTGAGGCTTGCACCCCTCCGAACGCGAGTGTGAGAAACACTGTTGTTCCGCAAAATTCGAGTAAGGCTGCATGGATGTCATCGCCTATGCCTGCAAACAAGCTCTGCGTTGACCATTTGGAGGGAGCTGGAGAATGTTCCATGGGGGGGTTTAGTATGGTGAGAAAGGTGAGGCCAGATTTTACGAGGGCTCACCGTTTGTATTGCGACCAAGACGATGGAGCGGCTGACGCGGGTAAGCTAGTCGACAGGAGATAAGTTGGTCGATCAGGGCTCAGAGCCAGAGCCAGAGACGACAGGGTGCAAGTATATTGGGTCATGCCGCGGTCGTAGCGGGTTCGGATGGTTCCACTCTCAAATCTACCCACAAAATCGAATTTATGGTACACGTAGTTAATCCCAACCGCCTTTCCCACGATTACTCTTCGTAGAGCTCCTCTTCGCTTTATCCAGTCTCCGGCGTGCCCTGTCCGCGCTCTGAAGTTTACGGACCCGCTCTTTCTGTTCCTCCGAAGGTGCGTTGACCAGTTGAGAGGAGGATGCGGACAGAACCAGCGCATGAAGCTAGTGAAGATAACACGGTTAACATCCGTGACAGAATATCCCTTGACGCCACGGTTTCGACGTCATTAATTAAAATAGTGGATAATCTGACCTTGGATAAACAGTCCTCCACGTTCTGGTGCTGTGATCTGTGGACCGTTGAAGTGATTAACAGAGACTGGGAAGACGCCACATAGCTCGGCTGGTACAAGTGAGAGCAGATTCATCATGTAGATGTCGTTGCAAACGTACCGATTTCTTCAAAGTCTCTCGTGCCCATAGAGGTATCCACTCAGAGGTCAGGGGACATCGCAAAGTAGCCTTCGTGTTCACTTTGTTCACGTTCTATTCGTAGATTAAACCTGATACTGACAAGGCTGATAGATGAGAAAGACCTGCCCGCCAGGTCCAGAACTTCTGGAAAACGTGAATTCTACCAGCTGCTTGGAGATATTTTGATGTCTAAATTCATCAACCCAGGTTCGTGCCTGTGCGGTATCCGAGGGTGTCTCCAAAGTGATGAAGCTAGGTGGTGAAGACATGCTGGAGTTTGCGATGCCACGCACAATTATGCCGAGGCCAGCAGATAGTCGACATTTCATAGCAAGGGGGTGATATCGTAACATGATGATAGGTCCTATACGACTCTGTGCAGAGGTGAGGGGCCAATAACCTCCAATAACGTTGAGTGCAAGGAGGTTCAAGGTTATCGCTCTCCGTGCAAGCGATGCCACGTGGGAAAGCCTTTCGTCTCTCCAGGAGGTCAGGTTGGAACTTCTCCCGCATCCGCTTCGCCTTGGCTCTGCATAATGCCAATTTGCACCAACTGCACTCATCCGACTCGCTACTTGTATATTGTGTACAACTCGCGAGACAATCTACGCCTCGAGCAATGTGTCAGTGGTCTTACCCAGCTGCAGTGTTCCAACACATGACATGTCAGTGGACAATTCATCCAGACTGCCTGCCACGCCTTTGCGGACCCTTACGTGGAGCACGACAACCTCACGTTATGGATTGATCTCGTCCTTTTGAAAAGAGACGTTTACCGGCATTTGCTGTTCAATCGCGGAACGGGAGCTAGAAAACTTGGCGGCGCACTGAGTCGAGACAACTCTGGTAATAGCACGCCCGACGTAGCTACCGACAGGAAACAAGAGGGGCAATCGTCGGAAAAGCTCAAGTCGAAATTAGACTGTACATCTGAAAGGCAGAGAGACAAGGTACGTCAGAGTCAACTTTGAATGAAGAGCTGTTCGCGAATCCAGTATTCAGGACCGATGGCTGCACATTTTGAAGCTTGGAGCCATTCTCGTCGCAGTGGATGCATGTAGGTGGTTTCTGGCTAGCCGTACTCCAACACTCTGAATGAATGCACACATAGTCATTCGTTGGACCCATTTTAGTAAGCCCAGTGTCTTTCAAGCTTTTGTATTTCTGAATGCATACTTTATAGGCTCAAGTTTGCCAATGGAATCGGCAACGGAAATAGACCTACTCAATTGGAACCAAGACGCGATTAAAGCATACCTGCGGATACTGATAGGATGTTTAATCGGTTCGCTCGCCACTATTCGCTGTTTCGGTGCGACGCGATAACATCTTCTCGCAGAGACAATCGGCTTTCATTCGGGCGTTGTATTGGCTAGTTACATCGTGCTTCATCTCTTGAGTGGATTGCGACAGAGATGGACAAAGGGAAAATCTGAAGTATCAGGTATCATGTCTGAATTCAGGTTTGTCCCTCGAGCATTCCCGCTTATCAGTTACTTAATTCGTTTTAGATATTCACATATCCCGTTGACCCTACTCTACTCTTCTTTAAACAAGCTGTTCTTGCTGTTCCTTCTGACCATATGGCGTCCTGCGTCTTCTTCGCCAGGAGACTCGCACCCCCTGCCCCCGCAATACAATGCCAGCCATATTTTCCAACATTCCCTCATGGTTGGTGCATTGGAAATCTTGGATGATGACAAGCTTGATCGTGAGTGGGTTGTCAGAAATATCCTGGGCGGGATGGCTGCTGGATTTGGTTTACGTGGTACGTCATGCGTACATATCTTTTCCAAGTAACTTGACTGATTTTTGTTACGTGTGTAGTGGTACTGGATTGCCACCCCTTCTTCACGACAATAATCATCATAGTTGGATGGGCGGTTAAAACGGGACTTGCGAGTCTCTTAAGTAGGTGGGTCGGTGCGGGAATAGGTGGACATGAGTCCACTGCAGGGGAAATGTGGCTCGCATACAGCATACCGTAATACACTCCGAGATGTTGTATCACATAGATATTACTATCAAATGGTAAAAACAAGATAGAGCACCGTGTGAGGAACTCAGTTCCTCACCCTTTTCAGAGATGATAAATCAGAAGATGAAGGGTATCATGATCTTCCTTCTGGGGTATTCTTTACCAAATTCTTTCTTGTAGTTCCTGTGCTTCTTCATGGCCCATGTGCCCATGAAATAAATACCGGTAGCTGTGAAGACCCAGGCTAGAGGAAGAAATACGTAAGGGACTTTGAGTAATACGAATGCGTAACCTACAGGCATAGCTGCCAGTCATAAGACATACGACGATCCATCCCATGATTTCAAAAAAGTAGTTCGGTGTGGACACGAGATTGAAGCCATATCCGTACGGAATTGCACGTTTCTTGGTACCAACAGGCCGCAAGTTCCTTAGGATGACATGCGTTTTCAAATTGGATAGCTCACAAAACTTGGGTAGTTTCAACAAACAAAAGCCTGATTAAAACGTGAGGGGGTACTCACCAGCCAAATGGCCGTGCATGCCCATAAGAATTTTGGATCGTCACGAATGGTGCCCCGAATGTATGGCGAAGAGCTTGAGTATGTCGGGCTGTATACGGCGTAAGCAAGGCCCAGACCGCCTAAAAGGTGGTAATGCGCAGAGCTACAATTTTTAGAATCCACAGATATATAAGTCAGACAGGATCAACAGGCACAGAGAAGTTTGACTCACTTGCGGAATATATAGGCAAACGGCATTGTTCCATGGGAGAAGCGGTGAACGAAGACGGTCTCGAATTCGCGCTTGAGGAAATGAAGCATAACCATAGCATACACATAGCTTTGGAGACCATCAGAGAGCATATATTATGAATGAAGCAGCGACATACTGTTGCAGCAAGCTATGCTGCACCGAGCCCCCGTAGAAAACCTTGGGGAAATGATACATGAGTGGGTGAATGATGAGAGGCCCAACCTGAATATGTATCAGCAATGGTGAGCGTGAATAAGGGATATAATGTTGCCACGTACATATTCCACAATGAAAACTGTCCTCCAGCTGATTTGTGGTCCCAAATCCTTGATCTGTAGTACCCCACCGTCTACGAGACCGGCGTTCTGAAGCGTAGTGTCATCAGCGAGTGCTTTCTTCTCGTCCTTCAGCGTAAGCTTTTGTCTAGACACATAGAACTGTATCCAAATTCAGTGTTCGCATACAGCTGACGCGAGAATGGGCACTAGCCTTTGGGTACTTGGCCGCGAATGCGGCCTTTACGTCCCCTACAGTGGCAGAATCAAGACCAGCTGGAATATCGAGAACGACAGGAAGATCCGTGGCCAGAGAGATCTTTCGACCCGAGGCCGATATTGTGACTTGCACCATGTTTGCTACCGCACTCGACAGGTTGAAACGCGTCGACGTACAGAGTCAACTAGGCGCTACATGGGATCCCGACGCGTATACCGCATATGGCAAACTCGGGGAAACATATTACATAAGTACACATACCCGCAGCAAAAATAACATCGCATATCAGCTAGTATACTTAGGTCTCGCACAGCCCGGTAACTAGCTAGTCCAGTCCCTTGTTTATTTCGGAAGAAACACGAGGTTACAATCTCCGATTGGGACTCCAAACGTCCGAGCCTGAGGCTAGCGCTAAGCGCTTCGACCCAAAAAATAATAATCGCAAGCGAGCAGCAAAGGGCAACCGGGTTACGAGGTATTTACATTGAGGGTAGGCAAAAAATGAACCCGACCCGACTTGAACGGATGACCTTGAGGAACTCCATTGTTCGCGAATCTAACCCAGAACTGGAATCTCACGCGCTACCACTGCGCCACGGGTCCTTTATAATCTGCCCGTTTAACCCTGTCAAGGCCTTTGATGTCTGCCTTTGAATGGTCAATTGACATTACAGCAAGCAGTGACTGTTACCTGTTCACAACCTTGTAATTATCCCATATTATGGCACCAACACCCGCAGCATCCTCCTCGCGAGCTCTAAATGCGATACTCCCTTTGATCGCTTCTGGTCAGCCTTATGAAGCCCACCAGAAAGCCAGAACATTCGCGTCGCGATATCAAAAGTCTGGACAATACGACACTGCCATCGACGTACTATTTCAGTCTGCGAGAGAACTATTGAAAGTGGGACAGCAGGGCAGTGGAACGGATCTTACTAGTTTTCTTCTTGATGTGTACGAGAACAAAAGCGAGCTAGTCAACGACGACAGTCGAGGTATGCAGGAGTCATCTTACAATCAATCGCATTCCCATCTACGCCGCAACTTATCCACTGCTACGCAAATTTGCAGGGCGATTGACACAGCTGATTGCCCTTGCTGGATCTTCCGGCTCATGGCGTAAAACCATTATCGACAAGGCTATTGCGTACGTCCTGTTATTCTTTGGCATGGCGATGTACCCACCCCATGTAATACAGCTGGTCTGCCAAGCATGGACCATGTCCTGCTGGTGACCCTTCTCTGCAACACTATGTTGGTGAACTCTTGTATAAAGGTACTATGGTTCTGTGTCATTAGTGATGTCATGCTGATGGTGGTTTGTCAGAGGGTTCCTTCGATACCGCGGAGATACACCTGTTAGCGGCAGGGAAGCGGGACAGTGCTAGAGTGCTCGCACAGATGTACATCGAGTGGCTCTCGGCAGGTGGTACACCTGGGGCTTTTGCATTGCGTGGAACAATTCCGTGAGTTAGAATCTCCGAAGTTACACGCGACACGTTCTTGCTGGTGTGCCTTCATCACCCCCGTGGAGGGACCGAACCTCGCAGCCGATTTACTCTGCTTTGATGCTCATTCAATTTACCCCTTTATAGGTATCTCCAAAACGGAAATATCCTTGCTGCTCGTACCTTCCTGTCACATTTAGTATCCCAATACACCGCCACACACCCAGACTTCGTGTCCTCGATACAACCGTCATCACTTGCCGTCGGCAAGACAGGCGATGGGCAATCCGATGAGATCGTTATCACGAAGGACTCAAATGTTAATTGGGCACAACTGGCTGTGCGGACGTGTCAGCGGGCACAAGGAGACAAGAATAAATCAATGCGAGAAGCATGGATCCGATTATGCGGAACGTATCAAAGTAAAGGAGGCTTGTTAGCCATCAGGGAAGTCAGAAAAGTGAGCAGACCGTCTTTCAGATATTTCTTCGGACTGCCAAGACGAGGAGGGTGGTTTTGCAACGCAAGCTCGCTGTCTTGACGGAGTGGCTGGACGATCACACGCTTGCAAGATGGACACGACTGGTTCTAGCTCATTGGCCACGTCGTTCTGATTAATGACATGTATTCACACCGATATTCTTCTTCTGTAGGCCCTCAGCGAATTGGCTGAACTCTACTTTGCAATTCCCCCACCACGAGCCCAACAGGTTAATCCCTTTGGCGATATGTTATCGACGATGTTTGGAGGCGCTCCTCAAAGCGCGCCCGCCCCTCGGAGAGTACTAGCCCCGGCCCCTGCGAGCAGTGCCCCGGGTCTAGACTGAGCAGAAAATTTTGGTGGTTGGTGTGTAAACAGATGGACTGCACAGACAATTGCTATCAGGAGCGGCACATGGGTGCTCTAGCAAGCGTTCGCACATTCGGTGATGGAAACATGTGTTCTGCGTAATTTGTATTTGGCTAGTTCGGCTACATTGCTCCCAACTACTCTCCCTGCAAGGTCTTGGCAATTTTGCATTAATAAAGAGTGAGCAGAAGCACAGCATGCATGCTTGATGTGTCAGCCTTAAAAATGCGAGTTTGCTCCGCGACGGTTAGCGGCGGCGGCGGCGGAGTGAACGCTCGTTCGAGTGTTAACACAGCTTGGAATACCACGGTGCATCGGCCAGTATTATCTACGCAAACAAGACTATAGCGCAGTCGCAGACACAGGAATCAAGGAAAGATTGTTGACGCCGAATTCCAACTCGTTTCCCAGGTCTATACCCCGCTCCTCCGTTGCGCAACAGGCGACTGTGGCAAGCTAGACGGAGCGGCAGCGTTCTCGCTATTAATTATGTCCTGTATAGATGCTTCTAGCGTGTCGACTCGGGTAGACATCTGCATCACTGCGAGAAGCACAAGGTCAGGGGGGCAGACTCTGTAATAAGATTTCCGGTCTTTGTACGTACTTCGGTCAAGGATTTGAGATGACATGTCGTCAAATTTGGTGTCTAGTTGCTCCAGTAGCGTCTCCACCTACGCAAGGCGTGTGTTAGCACTACGACAGATACATGTGGGAGGTGAGACTTGATTTACAAATGCGGTGAGTTCATGCGGACTCGAAATATCTGATGCGGCCGTACTGGCTGCCTTGACGCTGATAGCGGGAGTTCCGCTTGAAGACATGGGGCTAGCAGAAGGCCTGGACGGCGTGACCGAGGGGGTTACATTCAAAGGAAGGGCCACAGAAGAGGACGGAGGCATTTCGCCAGGACCTATTATTGAAGTAACGATCATTAGGACGATCATGGACTGGCGATGATACGGACTGAATTACCTTGAGGCGCACAGTTTCACAGAAATGCTTGAGAACTAATTCTTTGAGCGCAGACAGCCTTCAGGTTTGCTGAAACTTGGTATAGCCTCGGAGGTTTTGGTGACACTGAGAACGAACTTGAGCGCCATCCAATCCAGCGCTGCCACTCGACACCGAAGATCACACAATTGTGGCCATAAGCGCCTACAGCATCCAACGCCCACTGGCTTTGGAAACCATCTGGAGCTGAACTCACCGCATGTCTATCCTTACATCGACCTACGAGACGCTCTTATGTCACTGCATGTCTCGATTTACAGCAGATGGGCGGGGATCCGTTCGAACTTCAAGAACAAAAGATTGGTTCATCGTCTACGGCAAGACTCAGAACGCTGCTGAGGTAGTCGTCGAACGCTAAGAATGAGACTCCAGTTCTCATCCAGCTCATCCTCGGTATGTGCTATGTGCTGTGGAATATCCACCCGGTCCGATCCCCACAAAGACCTCCAACCGAGCAAATTACGTTATGCCAGGAGACGCTACTGTGCGTTCTGTTCCAGCATTTTCTGAACTTTCGGTGTGTCGAATGGTTTAATGTGCTTTTATGAAGAGAATGAAACAGTCAGTGGATTTAAACCCCATTCATTGAACTCTGCGGCTCGTTTATAGTCCTGTTCTCCAGTGTGTGATAACTGGATCCGGTCCCACCACCACTTCAACACTCTTAATGAAGTCTGATATCATGCTCCGACAGCAGGATCATAAGGTTCGCGGCTACGATTACATTCCGAAGAATCCCGGCATCATATTGAAATCGTCGACTGTGCGCTTTGGCTGTCGAGCGGTTCGTCTCTTAAACTCTATGCATTTCGGAATGCCTTGCCTATCGAACCGCCACAGACAGGGGCGGGATGTATATGGGGCGCCAAGCGTACAACTGACGCGTAAGCCCGTGGGCACGAAAGTAGCAAGCGATGCCTCCTTGTTTTCTCGTATGAAACAAAAGTCAAGCTGTGTACCTTTTTGAAGACGTCGCCTTATTTGTTCTCTGGTTTACAATTTATAACAGGGAGGTATTCTCTTCTATTTACTTCGTCAAGTGGCAGATCGTGTCACGAATACCACACGCTATCACTTCGCCTAGAGTATGATCGTGGGCGTTTTACTCGCAAGCAGTCAAAGGCTTCTAGGTGCGTCAAAAATCTGTCGCTCTAGCCCTACTCCTTGTGCGCTTTTTACTCGTATCATGCAATTCCTATTCAGCAGTACCCAGACTACTGGACGTCGGTATTATGACACCGGATCCCCATATTCTGTGGAGGCACCCACGTCCCTTATATTATGTTCCAAAATGAAACAGAGAACCGGGAAATCGCCTGACCTGCAGACGCGCGCGAAGGTTGGACGTGAACGTCGACCACTCTGTACTATACGGCTATCGGATTGCTGTGCCGGCTCAATCATGGAACATTCTATCCCCCAAATGCATGAGGGAACATCTATTGAATTGAACAGTGGACCGGAAATGCCTGCGACGTCATCTTAAAATATCGTATGTCTCTTGTGCCTGCTCTATTGCTGCGACACGTTGATAACTGAAGGTCTCAGGTCCGAATTGTTGTAGAGACTAGTGAGCAGTAAGGCATTCGGGTACGATTCATCGCCAGGAAACCGACATTGTAGAATGAATCGCCGCATCGCTTTCGGGACAGCATAAAGTTACAACGAATCTGCAATCTGTTTGCACAGATCAGAAAGCCGAATCTGACGATGTCGAGATTACAACATATAGGTGCGTTACTTTGGACCGTAGCGGGTAGTGTGGGATAACTCAAGCTTCTATCAACAGACAGGCGTTTTGGAGCTCAGCTTAGTAGCATTTCGGTGATATGTGTCGGTAGTCGCTCCCGTAGCCTCCGCGCGGGGAAATGAGTGCCATTCGCGGAATGTCATAAATTGAAACAGCTCCACATTTTGGTGAGTCTAGCGTCTTTCTCTTCATAAAGCTCACATACTTACTCGGATTGCGATATGATGCCAATGATCGACGATCCTATCCTAATTTCGGTATTTGCATCCTTCTCAGTCGTTGTCTAGACAAGTCACGATCGGGTACATGGTTCCATCGTGTGTATAGACAATCGCACTCTGCAAGCCCATATCTGTGCGACAGCGGTATAATCCAGTATGCCCTTTAGGTCATCGGTGGGGTAGACTTCTATCCATTCTGTTAAAGGTGTGTAAACTCATGAGCTCATTATCGTGCTTCAGTTCATTTGTAGCGTTCTGCTCTCATACCCGGATCTCATGCTTACATCCGATGGGAAGTTTTCATCAAACGTGCAACCTTGACA